ATGGCAGGGTGCCAGTGGGAATAGGTAGGGACTGGGAAGACAAAAGGTAAAGCCGCGAAGGGTGGGGAGGAACAGGGGAAAGAGAGGCCAAAGGTGAGTAGGCGAGATGGTACAGAGGTAGTGATTCAAGGTAGAAAAGAGGCTGTCTGAGAAAAAGCGAATAGCTGGAAATTAGGAACACAAAGGGCAGAAAAGGAGGGCAGGGGAGAAAAGGTAGACAAAAGAAAAACGTAAGAGGTCAGGTCTGGCAGATGTCAGATGGTGAATCAGATGCCAGGCAGGTTGTAATGTGTCATAAATCCAAAGTCTGTATTGAGGACGTGATTTGCCAGTCAGGTTTGTAATTTAAATGAAATGGTGCCATCGACTGGATGGTTGTGGGCCCCGTGAAAGCTGCAAGTCTTCAGGAGGGGTTTCAAGGAAGAGAGGAGCACGTAGGCCAGACTGTGCTTTGGAAGGGAGACTGCAACAAGGACAGGGGGACATCTAGGAGAAATAAAGGAAAGGGGCATTGAAGCTGGTGATCCAGTTGCACGGAGCTGTGAAACAGAGGCAAGTGGTCTTAAATTTGATGTAGGTAGGAGGAGCTGTGGGAGTGATTGGGTGTGGGAATGAGGTGGTCAGATTGCTGGGTTAATGACAGTGCCCAGTCCATCTAAAAACAAGAAGCCATTTTCAGTTTCATAGTTTGTCAAATAGGTGAAACGTTGTAACCAAGGTCAGGCAGCCAGACTGAAAGCAGAACTAAAAGTCACGGCATCCGACCTCCTGGCTTGATGCTAGCCTTGGTAAAGAGATGAGATACCGGGCCTTGCAGGCTTCGTGGCGGTGGAGCCAGGAGCAGTGTATCCATTCTGTAGAACTGTAGGCAGGTGACTGGCACCAGCCTTTCAGCGGTACAGCGATCTGGCCTCCTAGGTAGGATGGGGGGAAAGTCAATTGTTTTGTAAAATACAATTCATGTGTTTCATAGTTTCAATGTAGTTTTATTTTAAAAATCAACTTTTTAAAAATAAACTATAAAATGGACAAACCTATGCTAAGTCCTCAGTTTACAATAATCTCTTGAAATCACATAAATAAATGAGCACAGCATCAATAAGTTCTCCTCAGATGTTAATGAGCTAAAGTCTACTCATAATCTCTTTCATGATACTGAGAATCAAAAGAAAAAAAACTTTACTTTTTGAGGTCAGTGGAAGTCTTGTAAAAATCACAGTATCATGCACTGTATTTAAGTATTTGCCTTTTTCCTCCAGTTTGTACAATAGAGCAAGTGCTAGTATTAGCATGTATTCAAATGCCAGTGCTTTTCTTTTTCCACCAAACAGAAAAGCTGTTAATTTCTTTTAGTTTCAGTTTAGGTGCAGTGCTGCAAATGGTGTTTGTCTTTCTTTTTTTCTTTTGGACTCGCTCATTCAAGATTTGAGGAACTGACTGGGAGATGAAAAAGTAGAGAAGCTTCTAACTTCTGAATAAAAAGCAGGTGGAAAAGGTAAGCTATATTAACTCTAAACACCTGAACTGTGCTGTGCTGTGCCTGGCTTCTTGTGAAAAGAGATCTTGCATTTGAAAGCTTGTCTAATTTTATCCTGACTACACAGTTGGTCCCATAAAAGATGCCACCCTCAAATCCTTGCCTCTCACAAATACCTAAAGGACGTGTCAAAATTTCAAAAGTATTTAGGCACTTCAAGGTACAGGTAAATACAATTTTCAGGTGTGAAATTTTTAACTAGTTCTCAATTATTTCAGTTCTAGTTGGGTTTTTTATGGGAGCTAGATGCTTTGGAAAATTCCAGTCCATATCTTCAGGCATGTAAATATCTTTGAAATCTACCCAGCTGTTACTAGAAGCAATCCAAGCTGACTAATGTTACTGTTTCTTTTGTTTAACAAATCAGTTAGATTTAGATTCAAAACATGCTTTGATAAACTTAAGTAAATGTGTTGGATGTTTTTTATTAGCAGTGGCGTAGGTTGTAGCCATGTTGGTCTAAGGACTTAGGCAGACAAGGTTCTTCAGGTAAATCTGAAATCTTTTATTAGACCAACCTAGATATTTGGAAAAAAATCTTCTTTGCAAGCTTTCAGCAGTGCCTTTTGACTAACAAAAAACAGTGCTGCAAGGCTATTTTTTGCTACTTTTATTAAATTCCAATAATTCCACAGCTTGACACATTTGAGTAAAAAAATTATAGAAAACAAGCACTATTATACTAAAAGATAGTGCGTGATATAAAATGTAAAAATCAAGGGTCTGAGCTACATAATTGTTTAAAGCTATGTACTAAGGTGTAAATAGGTACTGTAAGTTTTCCTGGTTTCAAAAAGTACTGTATCCAATTTAATATAAGGGATATATTTAGTTTCAAATTATCACATTTTAATGGTTATGCCAACCAATAATGAACTTCTATTTATGGCAATAAAAGGTACAAATTCAAAATGAGATTAAAATTAATTGTGATTTAAGGTTTCCTGATGCAAATAATTAAATCAATACACCTTGCTCACAAATAAAACCTCTACATGAAGGGGTGAAAGTGAGATTTTTCAAAGGTGCAGATGAAGCAATTTCCATCAAACTAACAGAGCGCAGGTAGGGGCTTCTTAGGGGGCTCCTTTGTTGTAGGTAAGCATGTTATTTAACGATGACTCTTTTTTTTTTTCCAGAAACTCGTCAACAGCACTTTATGGACTTTATCGATCAGGGCGAGTGATTCTGCAGATTGCTAAATGTAGGCTCCTCCTTGTGGTCTAATGATTGTTCATTGTTCCATTCGTTAATTGTTTACTGATAATTTGGTGGTCACAGAGGATGACTATATGACAATAACAGCCATTTATATCAGGGTCATGATGTTAAAATATATAGGTATATTGCCGAAGGCAGGGTCATAGAGACATAATGAAACCAGAGCTGGAAACCTCTTGGAGTCCTGTCTTTCTATTCTTTTTACAATCAGATTTTAATGGAAAGATTCCCTCTTGTGATTCTAATATATATAGGTAATGACTTCATAGAAAGCCACTCTCAGTTGTCTGGAGAGTCTATCCAGATGTCTGTGTCCATCACTTCAATGGCCACCATAGTAAAGCTGGCTACTGGTTGAGTAGTTAGACTGTTTTATTGCTGGGATATTTAGTCTGAAATTTAGAGTTCCCTGTAACAGCCCCTGAATACTGTATGCTCTCTGAATTTGAGTATTGTCACCATGTTTACTGCATGCTGTTGGCCTGTGATAGGAACCTGAAGGGCATTTGAGAAAACTGGTCTTGCATTAGCTGTGGAAGCAGGGTCATTCTTGTCTCTTGTGAGAGGAATCTCCAAAGCTTAGCTTCTACTGCTGAAAGAGGTCTGTCTCCTTAGTCAGCAGATCTGTTTTTTCTCCCAACTGAATTTAGCTGTTGAGAAATCAGGGTTAGTGTTTTTCAGCTAAGTAGGGCAAAGCAGAAGAGAGTCTTTGTCATAGACTCACTGTTTGGTAGGGAGTCAGCACAGAACGATGCTCTGATCTGATGTTCAGGCAGCCTCTGCTGGGAGGTACAAGAACCGCTGTGTTTAATAATCAGTTGGGGATGTCCATCTCTATGACTCTTTAATATGAGTTGCTCAAATCTGGAGGCCATATCTATCTGTTCTGCTCAAAAACAGTATCCTCGAGCATGCTGCACTGCACAGAGCAGGTTGCCTCCTAACTCAGCAGTTGTGTATCCTGCAGGTAGGCTAACTAGCATGTCACTCAGCAGTGCAAATTAGCTCTTCCAAACTATTACACAAACCCAGCTGGGATGTTCAGTTTAAGCAGCAGCCCACTCAAAGCAGCACAGTAGGCCTGATAACTCCTTTCTGGAGCACGTTAAATTTACTGGGTAGACATAGCCTCAGACCGGAAGGGGTATAGTGTTCATATTGCCACAAGGAAACCTCTTTATTTGGCACTATGGCACACGTTCGCACCAAGAGGACAGAAGGACCCCAAGCAGTTTTTTTTTACAGTTGTATATGGTTTTTGTTATAAGGTCCTGAGTCTCTTTTGAGGAATGTGGGATATCAATCTAGTACATGCAATAAATAAAGTAAAACAGCAAAACAAAAGAAGAGTCTGAGAGCTCGTGCCTTCTAGAGTGCGGCGTGTTACAAGGGACATGTTCTAAGAGCTTTCCTCATCCTCCTAGCATTGCTAGTCTGGTGCTAGTTTATACAGAGCTGATCACAGTGAAGTGAGGAAGCTGGGACAGAGTGCTGTTTATACCGGACATAAAGCGGATGTGGAGCTAGTTCAGGGTGTGCTTCTTATCTCACTGGCATTTTAGCAACTCCTGCCTTGTGGACACATCAGGTGAGATCTTCTAGAGTTGGAAGAAGAGTTAGTTGCTCACTATGGCTGCTTGCAGGCATTAAAAAAAACAGCAACCCCGCGCTTTACCAGAAGAAGCAGCGCATTACTTCAACCCAGCTCTGCAGTGTCTGTATAGGTTGGGTGCTTCAGTGAGGCTTTTTGGTGCTTTTAGCTGAAGCTGAGGTGATCAACTATTAGACAAAAGCATCAAAGAAGCCTCACTAAAGCACCTGATCTATACAGACATCAGGGCCCAACTAAGGCACTGCCTCTTTCTGCACTGAGCCTAGCACATGCCCAGAACATGCCAAGTCTCTAGTAAAGCGCAGCTTTTTTTTTTTTTTTTTAACATCTGCAAGCAGCCAATATGTCTTGAGGGTCAACTGAAGTCTTTGCCTATGGGCAGAAAGCAGGCATTGAACTCAGCAGGTACCCAGGCTCTAATCCAGATCATATCCTTAATTCTCAGACTGAGATTACACAGGAAAAATTAGAAATCCTCTGGCAATCTTATGGATTTAAAATGGAAGTAGGGTCCACATTCTTCAATCTTGAATCTTTATGCAGATAAGAAATGCATGGTAAAAGAAACAGTTCAGCTTATAGCCTCTTGCCTGTATCCGGATGTCATCTCTGTTAGCTAAATTGTAAACTGTGGCAGGGAGTATGTTGTGTGGTCTTATTTGGCATAATGCTTAGCATAGTCTCTTAGCTATTGTCTCAGTAAAGGCTTATTACATTGTCCCTATTACTGACAATTTGTTACAGAAAACGGTGGTTGGGAGAATCTTCCATTTTGATGCAAAAAAGCTTTCACTTTCAAATTCTGAAGTGTCAGCTGAGAGATTCTCTCCAGCAGTGGTTACTTCTGCTGCTGCACCCAAACAGCTTTTCCATACCGGAAAGTCGCAGCAAGGAATTGACTTAAGTTAAATGAATGCGCACTTGGTTCTGAATGAATTGACATGCTCTGTTAACAGAACACTTTAAAGGTTGCAGTGTGAAACACTAAGTTAAGAAATGCCAACGTTAATATGCAGCTTTAGTTCAGGCTTGGTGCATGTGAACATGCCTACATATTATTTTTCTACAAGGCCCCCATCTCATTTAGTGCACAAAATGGATGGTTTTTGCTTAATGAGCTGCAACTCAGTACTTTTTCTCCTGCTTGGTCAGTGTGCAACCCTAGGCCTTACTGGCGCTGGATTTAGAACCCAGTCCTGATACCGTGTTCCAGGGAGACCCAACCTTTAGACCAACCATGGTACCTGCATTTGATAATAGGGGAATTTTACTGATACACTGTGATAGCAGATAAGAGTAATGCAGGCAAAGCAAACAAAATAACACCTCCCCTCCCCCCCATCCTACTTACCTACCAGTCCCCAGGATTCAGAAGGAAACTGGTGCACCTGGCCAGTATGCGAGGACTACCTGGCGAACGGTTTTTTGCATGAATGTTAGCTGTCTTGGAGGTCGAGGGCCAATGTCTTACCCCGCCCTCCCCACCCCGCCAAAGGTGGGTGAGACAGATAGGTGGTGCACCCTCTGCCCATGAGGGCTTCAGGATCCCCCCCGCTGCTCTGAAAATCCCTCCTTTTGTATTATTTTTCTCCTGACAATTCTTCATTTCCAGGTATCATTGATTGGTTTCCCCGTGGTCATCATACTGTCCACATTCTGTGTTGCCAGCCTCCACAAACGCATCGTGCATTTGTATCTTAATTCAGTCATTTGCCAGTGTCTTACTTTGGGCATCCCCCCCAAAAATTGGAAATCTGAAGGGCTTTGCAGCTGGTCCCTGTGACCTGATGTCAATTTTTCAGGTTCCTTATCTTGCTCTGGAACACCGTCTGCATGTTTTCAATTTCCCCGGATGTATGTGCCTGCTTGTCTGCTAGGTTCAAACAGTGTCTGCCTCAAAGGCTGTGAGCATGACATTTTTTCACAGACAGACTTTTAGAAACTAATTAACCCTTGCCATTCCCCTGGACCATTGCAGTACTACCAATGCAGTATTTACTCTACCTACAAGACAGTTCCTAATAGCAAATCTCTAAATATCATTTTCTAGCCATCAAGCCATACTTATGGTTATAATACACACACACTGGGGAACCAAATGAAGCTGTTCTCTGAAACCTTAATTTTGGTATTTAATTTTGAGCATGTGGCTTTACCACTCAAGAGTACATCTGCCCTGCTGCTCTTGAGATCTGCCTCCAGCATGCTTGTGAGTGTTAGCAGGAGTAACCTCTTGAATGCTGGAAATGTGCAGAGCAGGTGGAACACATTGTGGGAGGCACCCTTGGGGGTGTCTTCAAAGTGGTGTAGACCTGCCCTTCTGTCCTCTGTAACACGGGGAAGGGGTGGTGGTTCTTTGTAAAATTATAGCTTTTCAAAAAAGTAGAAGTTTCACCTTCTAACACCAGATCCTTTGGGGTTTTATATATAAGGTTAAACAAAGGACAAGGCTTGAAGGACAAGAATCATCTTTATTTTGTGCCTTTTGAATTGACTATGTCTTGAATGTTGTCAACCACAAGTTCAAATGTTTGCTCTCCTGTTCTGGGGTAATATGTTTTATAACTTCATAGAGTTTAGCTGTTTCTCTGCTGAAGATGTGCAGATCAGGATATTTGAAGGCTTGTAAGCCAACCAAATATGAATTGCAAAAAACCTATTCCTGACGGCATAGTGACCCATTAGCAGATTTTGGGAGGTTTTTTTTTTTTTTTTGGTTTACAGTGATGTTGCAGCTTCTTGGTGAAAGGGCTGTAAAATTTTGATAGGCAGAATATTCATCTATAATTTCAATTTTAGAAATTACTTAACTGTTTGCTAAAATTTTTCCTCAGTCCCCGCATGAGGCACCCTCAGAACAGAATGATTTGGCATAAATCATCATAACTGCCAATCTCAAAACAAATGAAAATGTGCTGTACCGTAATGGAAGTATAGCTACACCTATATTCAAAGTTGCCTTACTGGTTCCATATAATGTGGAAGGGGCACACAATGAGCCTGATCCATCAACTTTGCTGTAGCTTTCCTTTGGGAAAAGGTGCAGTGCAGATGCAATCCATTTGCTTCCACAATGTGTCATGGTACCATCACATCAGGGGCTGGTGTTACATCAGTGCAAAGTACACCCAGCTGCTACTGAGGTTAGCAAGAGCTGCTGGCTCACAGTACCTTTCATGATTAGGCATCAAGGAACTTAAGCATATGAAAAAATAAGAGAAAGCTAGGTTTAAACATTTGAGTTAGTGAAAATGTTCACAATACAAGAGAGGAGAAGGAGGAAATACTAGGGAGGACTTGTCAGATACAATCTTATAGTTGTGTAAGAATAGGCACTACCTGTTTCTTCTTTGCCCTGGAGCCATGTACAGCACTGACACAATATGGCAACTGCTTAAGGTAAAAGGCAACAGACCATGAAAAAGAGGGATCACTTTAAAAATCTTTCCTTGCTGTGATTATTTGTCCTCAGGTTTTTTTCTTTAAATTTGGACATACATAGTTTTGTAAACATACCAAACCTCTGATTGGGGTTTCACTTGCTGCTTGGTTAAAAGGCTAGTTGCTTGTCAAACTGTTATCTTGCCTTCTGAAAGAAGAAATGCTGCTCTGATTTCCAAATCTTTCTTGTTCTGAGTGAGTGGCTAAACACTGTTTTCTGCCCCACACTTAGGTACCTAAACAGTGTAAGCATTTGGTGTCAGAGGTCTGATACCTATTTACTGTCTTCCAGACTTGACTTGTGAACTTATGTTTCCAGGATCCTACCAGCCAAGATGCCAGTCAGCATTAAAGATATGATGCAACTCTTGTGCCATGTCTCTGAAGAGAAGAAAATGAAGGCTGCAATCAAGCAATCTGGGCGAGGAGCGCTGCTAGCGGGTGCAACAGCTTTTTTGGGGGGCTTGGTAGGCGGTCCACCTGGAATAGCTGTAGGTAAATGTAGTTTGCTGTGGCTTCGTTGAACTGAGTGCTGGAATGACAAGACCTGGAGATGATGGAATTATCAAATCGATGTATGATGTGTGAAAAGGAAGGTGAAGTAGGTTTTCATAATGGAAAACTTGCCAATTTCATTTTCAATTTGAAAAATACAATTGCATGTACTACTGTTGCCTTCTTGAAAGGAATGGTTTTGACGGTTCCTAATTAACCAGGTACTCTGTTTAAAATGAGTAAACCTAGATCCTATGTGCCAGCGCAATCCTGCACACAGGCTGTGTCATCCAACCCATAGGGCTATGTAATCCAGCCCACGGGGCTGGAAATTTGTTGGTGAGGAGTGGTGGCAACACTGATTGCTCTGACTCTGGGACTCTGTTGCAGAAGTTAAGGCTGCCACTGCTACCCTACTGCCAAATTTCTGGACCTCTGGGAAGTCCCATAAACTGGATGACACAGCTCCATAGGTTAGATTAATCTTACAGGCTAAAGGTTGAGCACAACTGTCCTAGGTTATTGACCCATTTGGAGCAAACATTTTACAACTTCAGAGAACAGGGGGTTGGAAATTCCATTTTATTCCTTGTGGGAACTCTATTTTGCTTGGATATGAAGCGATGGTGAAGAAATAGCTCCAGTTTAACCTTAACCAGAGGAGTGGAGATTCTTTCTAAACAATCAATTACTTCTGTCCCCTGAAAGATAATTTGTTGTATTTAAAAATGCACTGTGCCTGTTGTCACAGTTGGATGTGTGTCTGTATTCTGTGTCACGTCTTTTCTCTGCATAATGAAAATGAAATGAAAGCTCTGAGCTTAGTAGCAGAGAGAGATACTGATAGGAGAGAACTCAACTAAATGCCTTTATTTTATGGACCTCTGCCATTGTAAAGCTGGCTTAGTCAAGTCCCGATGGCCTCAGACCTTTGAACATTTGGGCCAGGAGTGTTAAAGCCCTTCCCTAGAGTTCAGTAGGAATGCTTGTTATGGAGAAAGATAGTGTGCATGCTTAAGTGCTTAGCAGGATTGGGGAAGTGTGGTAATGCAAAATAAGCATCCAGCAAGCAAAACAGCAGGAAATTCAAAATGACACTGCATTGGATTACTGGCAGGGGAGATTTGTCTTTGTATTTTTTTTTTTAATGCTAGCCACTTTAAGAAATTAGGTGAATCTGGGTACGTGTAAATCACTTATAACATTAAGTCTGGCAAGGAAGAACAAGAGAAAATGGCGTAACTGGCCATCTGCTTCCATAAAATGGCTGAGAATAGTTTTAGGCAATTAAACAGTTGGAGTGATAAATAAAAAGGTATATTGTCTGGTTGTCCACCAGGTAATGGAACAAGAGCAGCGTATAAAAGGGAGACTAAGTCCCTGTCTAATATGCAGCTATGACTGAGTTAAAATCTGACACAAAGCAAAGGCAGAAATAAGTGACCCTCTGACTGCATTAAAGCCTGCCTTAGCTTTTTTTAAGTGTTCAGTTTGGGTACAGGAATGCATTTAATCGTGCTTTACCTGTAGAAGTTTTGCTGTACATGGATTAAGCTGGTGCCACAGATTGGTTAGCAGGAGTTACAGATATTTCTCATGATGAGCTATACAAAAAGGAAACTCATCCTTCATTATGTCCCTGAGAAACTGCAGCATATTATGCTTTCCAGGGCTTGGAACACTTGCCTGAGTCCCTCTGAATTGGTAGGTTTGTTGCTGGGGAAAAGAAATGGTCATGTAAAAGATCTTCCTTTCTCAAACTGCTAGAAACTTGCATGTCAATATTTCTAGTGACTTTGGCATCAAGTGTCCCTAAATCAGATATTGATGTTCTCCTAAAAGTTTCATGCAGATGAATGCAACCATCTTTGGCTTTCAGATGTTTCCCTGATATCACGGGTAGAATTGGTAGCTCTGTAAACTTGTTTGTCTTTTGAAATATGCTTTCCAGAGGTGTGTAAATTATAGTTTAGGAATAGTCCCTGAGTGCAAGCATTCTGGAAGCCAAGGAACTGGGTTCTGGGCCTGTGCTGTATGTGTGTAGATGTTCCTGATTTTTCTGTGTGGGAAAGCGGTTCATTCAGGACCATCGAGCTTGGTGTTGTGCACCAAAGAGAATTACTTTGCAATTTAGGATTAGAACTTCTTTTGAAAGTGAGGTCATTTTTCAGAGCAGCATTAATAACCACCTACTAGTTACCCAAGATCCTCCCAGTAATCAAAGAATGAGCCAGAACAGCTCCTTGTACAAAATAAGAACTTGCTGGAGAATATGGAGCTCTGCCTCCCCCTGGGGGAAGTGTTGATTTAACAGTCAATAGGCTCACGATGTCATAATCAGTACAGATTGCAATCAGTGGGTTTGTTTGACCTATTGTAAGTCTCTTTTTATGCAAGGACTTTACCAAGGCTTGGAGAATACAACACCCCAAATAACAGCAGGGAAACTTGTACCATGACATGTGGTTCCAGTGCATAGCAGCACTTGCACCAGTGTGTCATAGTAGATAAGTATGTTAACATTGATAGCCAACGTAACTGTGTGGTTTGTTTTGTACTTTCCTTTGCCAGGCTTTATTTAAAGATACAGCTCATCCTGAAAAGACAGATGCCCCAAGGGGTGACCACTTACCTCTGACTTGCAGCTCTAAGTTAGGGTTGAGTGTGTTTTGAGATCTGTAGTTTGACTGGAATTGACCTTTCTAGACACTGTCAATTGGACTTGTACACAAACATTAAAGTAAACGTGCTTATGGACACCAACCTACATTTGATTGATAATTAAAATGGTAGCACCATTGAAACCGAATGAGTAGAATTCAGAGACGGTCACTTCAGATTTGGGGCTCTAAATCATCTTTTTTTGTTTTCTAGGGGGTGCGGTTGGTGGCTTGCTTGGAGCATGGATGACAAGTGGACAGTTCAAGCCAATCCCACAGATTTTACTGGAACTGCCTCCTGCTGAACAACAAAAGCTCTATGAGGAAGCCTTTGCAATTGTCAGGAATTTAGATTGGACTGATATTGTTGAATTGACTGTACTGGTAATGGCAAACGGTGCCCTCCAACAGAAGTTGGCAGGAGTGCTAATAAGTTTTCTCACAAAAGAGCTAAATGCAGAAATACAGTATGGAGAATAAACCTTTCTGAAGAGTTTTTTTTTTCTTCCCTTTATAAAGAATTTTATTCAGACAACTGTGATCCTTTAACCTAGCAATTACTAATTATTGGTGGCAATTGTAAAGTCTAGAAAGTGTAGTAGACAGGTTTAAGTATTTTGGTTTATATAAAGATTAGACTCAATTACTGCATTATCCTAAAACTGACTTACTGTGTAATTGACCATGGGTAAAATTTTCAAAAGCATTTTAGCGGTATAGGGGCTTAACTCCCATTTTTTTTAAAAATGGGACTTGGGTCCTAAAGGTATTTGGATGCTTTTTGAAAAGCCTTGCCTACTGTCTGCACTTATACTGTGAAGGTTGTTTGGAAGAATGAAGAGATTTTCTGGTGATGTTCCTGAGCCTTTGTTTGGTCCCCATCATAACTTTGTCATAATTCTTGAATCTTCTGTTTCCTTATAGCTGTATTAGAAATCTGGCAAATGCCAGGTTGGATCTTATTGGAGGGAGTAGATAAATTGTGCCCAGCAAGATTCACCATCTCCTATTTCATCTTAGAATTGGGGTTGGCACCTCAACCTTGCCTTATAGGGTAAAAATAACTTTCTCTGATTTGAAACTTGTTGAATCTGAACTGTAGGTGTTAATTGTTCCTCTTTTTCATTAAAATATTCTTAAGATGTAGAAGTACAATCAACAAATTTGAAAAGAACTCTTTAACCGAGCTGACCCGTCTTGATGCTCCAGCAGTAATGTATGGATTTCTTGTAGAAAATAATGTTCCCCTGCACTCCTATAAAGTCTCCTGTTTGTGTGTGTGTTTCTTTTAAAACAAATAAGTGGAAACTGGAAACTGAAATCTGAGCAAGAAGGTAGATTTTTACCACATCAACCACTACCTCCTGAATAATGGTGGTGTGGGATGTCTTCTCATCTAGGCTAAAGTTGCAGACTCCAGATGATATCATGTTTGTTGTCTTCTCTTCACTATGAACAATGAAACAGCTGTAGGACTGTACAAAGCTGTATAAAGGTGCCTTTTTATATCTGAAAATCCTACAAGACAAGTGAAACTGTGTTTATATCTTTTTCTTTTCCTAGTAGCAGAATACAAATAAAGACTTTCTGTCAGGTTTCTGGGGAATAGATTTTAATTAAAGTTTGCTGACTACCACTTTGTGCTTTGGATTTATTTGTACAAATGCAGCATGCTCTTAGCAGGCCCTTGTTCATATCCCGTCCTGCCAGAGTGAGAGAGCTTGGCTGAGTGTTGTACTCCTCACTCAAAAGTAATACAGCCCAATAAACTGGCAAGCAGAACTGAACTGAGTCAGAACTAGATCAGTCCCAGTGCATTACACCAAAGCAGGAGTCTACATATATGCAGTTTGGTTGACAATAGATGCAATACAGTTGGCATCTTAAAGGATTTTTTTCAGGTAAGCACAATTACCTGTGCACATTCATGCATGCTTTTGTGTCTTAGAAACAGCATAGCATCCAACATGTGCAAGATCTAGAACAATATAACTTAAATTGCCTTCATAATCACAACGCTTAAATGAGATGTCACCAGAGATGACTGGGTAGTTTATAGCAGGGAGAGAGCCTGCCACCTCAGGATCATGTATTCAAATGAGGCCAAAATCAGCACCAGCTTAAAGATAGCTGACATCTGGTTGTAACATGGCCCACATGAGAAAAGTTGATGACTTAGTCCATTTGCAATTATACTTTGTTTTTACATAGTCCTGTTTATCTGTAGACCTCAAAGCACTTTGCAAAGAGGTCACTCTCATTACCTCCATCTGTAAGACACAGCATGGTGTCACTCAGGGTGGAGAAAATAGGGCCCTAATCAGACATTTAATTTGGCCTACAAAGCACTTGTTAATGAAGCATAGAATTGGAGATGGGCAAATAAATCCTCATGGATCATCTTGTCCCATATTCTGTACAAATCCAGGAGGTACTACCTCTACCCAAGACCAGAAAACTGCCTATCCAGCCTGGGCATGAAAAACTCTAGTGAAGGAGATTAACACAGTTTCCCTGGGCAGCTGGTTGTATTTCCTTCTGTCCTGATGGTTAAGATGCCTTTTCCTCAGATTTGTTCAAAGTTTGCTTTGCTACAGAGTAAATTTACTAATGGCTAATGACGCACAAGAAGAGTGGTTTGCCCAAACTGAGTTTACAAGGTTGGTAGTTAGGAAAAAAAAATCCTTCTCCTTGTAAACTAGGAACAGTGGGTATTAAATCATTGAGAAAGAAAATAAGGCTGGTGCCTCACATAGCTGTTTATCTAGCCACTTGTCAAAGTAGTTGCATTTTAATGTCTATATCCCAATTCCTGCTAGCCAAACCTCACTGAATGATGCAAAAAGAGCATATTTCTTTCCTTTGTTCCTCTACCTACAAGCTGCGGCCTTGAGCTCACAACTATGTTTGTTACTTGGTCTTGTCCGGGGGTTTGGGGGGTTTCAGAAGAACTCTTCGGTAAATGTGATCATCTGACCAAAAAGGGCAGTTGTAAGAGAATTTATTAACATCCATCTGTTGTTGTTCTTTGGTGCAGAGATGCCTGTCCACCACCACATCCCTTGTTGGTATTGGAAACAGCCACGGGCAGGAGATGGCATCTTCTGAAATCCATTCCAGCTGCATAATGTCCAGGCTGAGCGTAAGACAGAGTCGTCACCTAGGAAACGAGGTAAAGCAGTGCCAGCAGTTTCAGGAAGCAGCTGAAGAAGAGTCACTGCAGGGAGATGCACATATTTATACAAAGAAACCATCTGCTCCAATGCTGGTTATTAACCTGGTTTGGTTGTGGATGTGACAGAATCAAGCTAGATTTTCACTGGCAGATGGTGTATTTTTAGCTAAAATTATCTTTTCTTTTTTTTTTATTCCCCTCTGTGTTTTTTTTTAAGCTGTCTAGTTTAAAAATGGAAAGCAAACATGATGGGAAAGTGTTATATTAGAAAAGGGAGAAAATATCTTGGGTGGCTGTTAAAGGGTGAATTCCAACCTAGATTAGTAATTGTGAGATGCCATCTAGTGGGGAAAGATTTTCTTAAATCTGAATATAGTATATGACTCACCATTACTGCCTTCTCATGTGACCACAACTCCTAGCTTTTGAATGCTTGTCCCATGAAAGTTCAGTGCAACTGATTTTTGTTGCTATTAGTTCATGAAACTGCTAGACTTCTGTGAGTTTGTTAGACAAGAAATATTAATTCAGTAATGACCTGCATCTAGCTCTGTCCTGGTGAAGTTGTTTTATGGTGATGTTTGCGTATGAGCCACATAAAAACGAATGTGAAACCTGTGCATTAATAATGATGATAGGAAAATAAATTATTAACCATTATGATGACTTGGAGATGGACAACTTGGACTATGAAATGAGACCTAAGCTGCTGACTATTCGTAAAGCAAGACTCTTCTTTTCCCCACATTTACCTTAATCCTCCTAAATCTAAAATGAACCAAGGTGAACAAGAAATACTTGTAGGCAAAACAGAAAACTGAGAATATTTTTAACTCTGTTAATGATCATTGATTATTCACAATGGCTACAGATTGTGTTGCAGATGGATTATGATTAAACTGCTCATGTAGAATGGCATTTGTTCAGTGTGGTTCAGATCTTCACAGTTAGCATTTTTACCAAGAGACATAGGCAGAGGTAAGGAAATGTTATTTTCCTTACCTCTGTTAGGAAAAGTTAGTGCCTGGGCACATTGCAAGGTAGGCAAACCATTTAAAACCCCTGTCAGAACCACTGTGCATTGCCAGTCAAGAAATCTGGGTAGGAGAGAGTTTGCATGTGTCTGCATAAGCTCCCATCACTGCAATTATGTAAATACCTCCTGAAACACATAAAAATAGAACTAACAATAGCAGTCTCTCTCTTCTTTTCCAGACTGCAAGCAAAATCGCCTGATTACAGGGTGGCTTTTGTGCTTGCTTGCTTGCTTGTCTGTGTTTGTATCTAGAAAATACGGACTTTGGATTTAGTTCTGAAAGCAGCATGCTCCATGATTATTGCTATTTCTGGCAGAGGAGCTACTTTGCCAGCTGTGAAAGTTCTCTTGTCTCCCCCCTATTGATCAACAGTGTTACCGCACCAGTGGCACAGGGAAGGTGAGAGAGGTCGCGCTTACAGCTGGTGAGGTGATCTCATGTGCTGCTCAGTCCAGTCCGTTGCAAGAATTTGAATAATGGGACAGGAACCCTGAACTGGGTTGAGTCTAGAGCCAGTGTAGAAAATACAGACTGCTCGGGTGATGCCTGCGTGGTACCTGGGTTGCTAAGCAAGTGAGCAGCAACATTTTGTACCAGTTGGAGCCTTTCTAGACTTTGTAGCTTTGTTCCTCTAGGTGAACTGCAATTCTCAAAACCAGACACCTGCAAGTACATGGAGTAATCCTCCAGACTCCTGAATCTTCCAGCCAGATTTACGCTGTAGTGGATGAGAAGTAATCTCTTGGCTAGCCACAGATGAAAGCTGGAATCGTTTGTGTTGCTGGTGTGTGCTTGGGCATCCGATAGCACTGAAGGCCTGGAGTCCTTTTGGACCTGTCAAACAGGTACAACCTGAGGGCACATACCCTGGGTAGTAGGAAATATTATAGGGGAGGTACATTTTTTTTTTTTCCAAAAGCTTTCTCTCTGCTAATGAGCACTGCTTCTCTTTGGCCTGGTTCAGTGTTAACTAGCTGCTTCTGGTGCTGCATTTGGCTAAATGCCGGGTAAGATAAAGGAGGTACACAGCTGGGGGTTGAGCTCTGTGCTGCTGGCAGTTAAGCCAGTGTTGCCTCACCAGCTGTCCCAATAATTTCTTATGAATGTTGAATAATAATGTGGGGCAGAGAGCTGAGCTTTGGAAGGCTCTTCAAGGCTTTGGAGGATAGCCCTTGTCATCATTTATTTAGTGACTTTGATTTTCAAAATCATTTCAGAGAAACAACTAAGTCAAGTGCAGCCACACACACGGTGATGTATCATTCTGCCTAGTTATGATGCTTCCCCCCCCTTCAAGTGCCCAAGTGTTTCTTTGACAACTAAAAATGCTTTCAGTGAAATTTGAGCATTTGTTACCACCAAACCCACCCACTTACATCTAAGTATCTGTGTAAAACCAGGGGTGCATTTTAAAAACATGGAACTTACAGAGTTTATGAGGCTTCTGATGAAATGCGCACCTTTTCAGTTAGCTCCACATTGGTAGGTGGAAACTAAAGCATGGACAGTTTAAGTGACTTACCCTTGGTTACATAGCTAGTGATAGAACTGGAAACCCAGAAATCCTGGCTCTTGATCCTGTGCTCTAACATTTGACACATTCTTTCACAAGTAAATAGCAAGCTTTGGGTATTAGTGGCCCAGATGTCTGTGGTCATGTCAGTGCTCACTGTTATCGTATTAGAATGAAGAACAGCCAAGACTCACCACAAGGGTGAGGAAAATGGCTGATAACCCTTCCTTTGTCCCATTTCTGCTGCCATGGGAGTGGGAAGCCTGTTCTGTCCTCCCACTGCATTGTTTCCTCTATTCTAAGGCATATACATGTGCTCTGGGAGGGAGGGGTGCTTTAATTAGAGGGGCTTTCTAATTAAAGTGCCTGGAACATCTCATAAGTCAGTGTCCCTGCTCTGAAAAATGGTGGCAAGGGCACTTTAACTAAGCTCATTTTTCAGCGTGGGGACGCTAATATATGAGACACCAGAATCTGCTGGAGTGCACTAATTACTGTGCTCCAGCAGATTTAATTAATCGAGTCTGCTCTGACGTGCTGTAATGTTGGAGCAACTTTGCTGCATGTGTATAGGTGCTTATGTGACTTCATGAGATGAGCCCATGGTGTTATTTCCTATGAGCTGCGGCTGCCTGACTTGTTCTCCCATGTAGCCTGTGTCTGTGAAGTCCTTTAAACAGCAGGAGGCTGCAGAGGAGGATTTTTGTAATAGCTCTGGGTAAAGTATTTAAAGAAGCTGACATAGCAAGAACTTACTGCATGGGTCTTTATAAAATGGGGATGACTATGCTCAGCTACTTCATGGAGGGTTGAGAGCTGGTAGTTACTGGTTATAGGTGCTGTCATTCGGAAGGAGTTCTTGAAGGGCACAGTATGATCAGCATTGTATTGCCCACACTCTAGCACATTAA